TTTGAAATGACCTTTATTTTTCTTAATTGACGCTTCAATAAATAGTTATTGTTTCCTAAAAAAAATTACTTTCGACTTCTGCTTTATATGAGTGAGACGTTTAGTCGTGTTTAGAATTAATCTCATTTTTATTTTTCATATTTTTTTTAAAAAAATGTAAATATTTTTAAAACGGTGTTTAGTGCAATAAAGACAAAAAACAGAAATGAAAACGAATTTTAGTTTAGTGTAAAATGAGAGAGAAATGAAAAATGACTTTCAGTCGTTTTTCATTTTTTGTTTTTGTTTTTTTTTCTCTCGAACAGAGAGAGAGAAACATTAATGAGTTTCTTTATATTAAAAATAATCTCTTGATAAAACTATTAAACGTATTTTTAAAAATAATTTCTGTCTGAGATTGAAAACGTTTTCATTTTTTCATATAAAAAATAAAATAATTTTGAAACGAATTCCAAACGCGCCCTTAATATCCGTATATTTAAGGTCATTGAGATTATGGGTGATTTTCCAAAACATAAAAAGAAAAAAAAAACTGCTTGGCTTCTTATATATATTTTAAAAATCCAAATAATACATAGATGATAGCTAAAATATAGGCCTAAAAACAGAAAATTAGAGGCCTTAAGCACCGGCTTAACCTGCCTTATGGTTAAGCCGGTACTGCTTTTGAAGTCTTTAGTACTCTACCTATGCTAGATAGATATTCTTGGATATTTTTAAAAATAAAACAGTACCGCCCAATCCAATCTTTTGTTTTGTTTGCCTTCTAATCTCTCTTGTTTTTTTTTTTTTTTTAAAGAAAAATTTCATTTATATTAATTAAAGTAGTATAATGTGAGGGATTTTATAGTACAAGATATAACTTTCAAATATATGTTAGAAGTTCAAAAAGCAGAGAGAATCTCGACGCACTAAAAACAAGCTCAAATAAGAATTTTTTTTTTTTTTTTTTTTTTTTTTTTTTTTTACCAAAATCTATAGTCGATAAAAAGGTTAAAAACCAAAGCTTTTAAATAAACATGATTATTTATTTCCCTTTAAAAATACAAGTTATATTTTTCCCATTATAATTGCTTTATCAGTATGGTAGTACCTCTAGTCAGAGATATCCGAAAATTGTTACCATTCTAAGCATTTATATCCTAAACTACAAAAAACAAAAGTAATCTGCGTCTACGTTACTTAATATGAAAGTTAATTAGTGTTCTTCATTTTTTATAAAAACAAACATGAATTATTTCCTTTTAGAAAAACATAATTTCCAGAATACAATAATCAAGTGTTCTTCATTTATTTATTTAAACAAGCATGAATTTGTTTCCTTAAAAAAATGATATTTTTCCTTGTAGTAAAACATGATTTCCTGAACTACAAAAATGAAAATAAATCTATGGCGAAATTGTATAGTAAGAAAGTATATTAATTAGTATTCTTCAGTTTTCATAAAGAAACATGATTTATTTCCCTTTTTTAAAAACGTGATTCAAAAACTAAAAAAAAAAAAAAAAAAAAAGAAAAAACGTGATTTATATTTTTCCTTTTAAAATTGCACCTTACCAGTATGGTAACTGGGTTATAAACTTATAAATATCCGAAAACAATTTCCACCCTAAGCATTTATTTCCTAAACTACAAAAGCAAATAAATATATGTCTAATACTCTAATGAAATAAGAAAGTTAATTATTTTCTAGGTTTTATTACAGCAAACACGATTCGTTTCCCTTTTAGAAAGAAAATAAAAACATATTTTATTTATTACCCTTTCAAATTGCAACTTATCAGTATGGAGATTGTGGATAGAGATATCATGGGATAATATTTACCTACTACTAAGCAATTATTTAATAAATTACGACTAAATTGTTTAATAAGAAAGAAAATTTGTTTGTTTCATCTTCATCTGGAAATACTGAAAAGGCACGTGTTGTTAAGGAAATAAAAAAACTATATACGAAAAAGTAGAAACACTCCTTAAAAAAATTTATTAAAGAGTAATTATACGAAAAAATTTATTAAAGAGTAATTATATTAAAAAAAAACAAGATTTTTTAGTTTAGTGTAAAATGAAAGAGAAATAAAAAATGAATATTAGTCGTTCTTTGGGTGCGTTTGGAATTGGTTCCAAAACGTTTTTATTTTCTGTACGAAAATGAAAATGAAAACGTTTTTAGTTTCATTTTTGAATTATTTCTAAAAATGCGTTTGGTAGTTTTATTTAGAGATTGATTTCAGTTTTAAAAAAAACTGAAACTGCGTTTGGTGGTTTAATTTTTGAAAACATGTAATAATATATTAAATAAATAATATTATTAAATATATTATATAAATAATATTATTAAATATATTAAATAATAATAATATTATTAAATATATTAAATAAACATATATAATACAAAAACGGTTTCAGAAAAGAGGGAAGATAATGAAAAAGAAAAAAAAAAGTGAAATCCGTTTTTCAGAAAACAGAAAATGAAAACGAGAAAATGAAAACACATTTTTTTCGTTTTCTGATTTTCACAAAAAGACAAAAACGTTTTTGGTTTTGTTTTTTAAAAAAAATTGTACCAAACACGTTTTTAACACCCGTTTTCATTTTTTTGCTTTGAAAACCGTGAAAAACGAAAACGAAAAAGCAAACAAACAGGCCCTTTATTTTTTGTTTTCATTTTTTAATCTCTCGAGCAGAGAGAAAGAGAGAGAAACATTAATAAGTTTTTTTATACTGAAAATAATCTATTGATAAAATTAACAACCGCATTTTCAAAAATGATTTTTGTCTGAAATTGAAAACGTTTTCATTTTCATTTTCATACAAAAAATAAAATCATTTTAGAACAGATTCAAAACGCGTCCTTTAATTTGGTTACGTGATAAAGAGTCTGTTTAATTTATTGATTCAAATTTTTAATTTACGTTAAAATGTGATTTTATGTGATAATTTTTTATTATAATAAAAAAATTCATATGACTATTTTTAAAATTTTTTTATTGTAATAAAATTAAAATTATAAATTAAAATCAGTGAAATGAACAATGTTAAAACTTGCCAGCATTCCGTTAAAAAATAAAAAATAAAAAAAATCTTACTGTAAAAAGTAAACAAACAAAGGGAAAAAAATGACAAACAAAATAACCAGAAATAATAATATGTTTTTTAAAAAAAGGAAACTGGCGATTGAGATTGTTACGACACGACGTTACAAAAATTATTGATCGAAAAGCGAATAAAAAATAAAAAAAATAAAAGGAAAAACAAAAAGAAAAAAAAAACTACAGTGAAAAGGATCACAGGTGGACCTACATGACAGTTACGAACGAAAAGCTCGAGGCCCACGAAACATGTGATAACACGCACCAATAAACTACAGCCACGTCTCAAAGCGTCATATAAAGTATAATTAATATTCAGCGCGTGCAAGCACGCTCCAAAATCATCGCGTGGAAAAAAGCAGCCAACTCAACAGCCGTCGGTTTCTCATAATTCAGTCATTCACGGGCGTCACCGTCACCGCTTCGTTCGAGTACCTTCGCAGAGATTGGGCCCCACTTCTCACCTCACACAGAATTCCGCCACGCGTCCCTTCCTTCCTCACTTTCCCTGCATGTGTCTCTCTCTCGTACTTGTGCTTCACTTACTACTAAAAAGTATAAAGAAGAAAAAAACTTTGCCTCCTTAATTTTATCTATATGTTTGATTCATGTATTAAAATTATAAAATTAAAATTATTTTTAATTTATGTGTATTTTTTATAAAAAAAATATTATAATAAATTATAAACTATAATTTAAATTATGGTATGAATCTCTTTATTAAACGTCTTTTAAATTTTAAATTTTAATTTTATTAAAATTAAAAACTTCATTTATTTTATCAATTTAAATTTTATTATAATACAAAATTTTTAAAAATAATCACATCTAATTTTTTTACTATCATAAAAGACTCACACATAAAGTCACATTACAACTCGAATTAAAAACTCAAATCAGCAACCTAAACAAGCCCAAAAACTCATAAAAAAAAATCATATCTAACTTTTTCTACTATAGTTAAAAGCTCCCACATAAAATTACATTTCAACTCGAATTAAAAATTCGAATCGACAAACTGAATGATGTATTATTTTTAAGAGTTGTTTACGGTCTCTCAATTTGAAAATGGAGGACAAGTCCCCTATGTGTCATCATAACAATCTCATATTACAATCATAACGGTTGAAATCACAGTGTAATTCTTTTATATTAAGTCGTAACAGTTATTATTTTAAAAATTAAAAATTATTTTTAAATATATAATAATAAATGACTGTCGTTTGCTGTTAATATTAGTAATTCTATCGTAACTGATTGTCAATTTAAACTTAAATAATAATATGATAAAAAATTACATATGTCATATTTTTTTCTTAATAGTCATGTACAATCATATATGAATATTTAAAGAAGTGTATAATAATATTTTATTTGTGATATATTTAAAATAATAACTGTTACAATTTAATACGCTAATTATTAGATTGTTTGATTATTAGATTTAGATCATGATTTAAATTATAAATTATAATTTATTATAATATTTTTTTTATAAAAAATACACATAAATTAAAAATAATTTTAAATTATGATTTTGAATCTATACATAACGTTACGTTAATCTCTAATCTTTTATGATACGAGAAATTTTGTCAATAAAAATAGTGAAGGACCACAAAAAAAAGTCTTTTTTCTGTTTTCAATATATTTCTTTTTTCATTCCTTTTTTCTTTTTCTGCATGGCCAGGCTTTTCCAAAATCAAAACGCCAATAATATTTGCGGGCCCACGTCCTATTTCTTCGCCACGTGTATCTCCGTGTCAACAACATTTTTGCTCTATAAATACAGCGCATTGGAGCAAACCTTGAAGGTGCATAAACACAAACACACAACGCTCATAGAGAGAGAGAGAGAGAGAGAGAGAGAGCACAAACACACAACGCTCATAGAGAGAGAGAGAGAGACAAGTTGGGGGGTTTTTTTTTTTTTGTTGAATTCATTTTCTTTCCGATTTTCTCTCTCATTTTCTCGGGAAAATGTTCATCGAAAACTTTAAGGTTGAGAGCCCAAACGTAACGTACAGAGAGGGTGAGATTCACTCCGTGTACAACTATGAAACCACAGAGCTTGTCCATGAGAATAGGAAAGGAACCTACCAGTGGATTGTCAAGCCCAAAACTGTCAAATACGAGTTCAAAACTGATACTCGTGTCCCTAAATTAGGGTAATTTTTATTCCCTTTTTATGTTCAAGAAATCTTTTTAGTAAAATGATTATATATTTCCCTTTTTATTCCCTAAATGATTATATATTCTTTTGTTGCAAACAATTTGTTGGTTTTTTTTTTCTTTTCCTTTTTCCTTTTTAATCATAATAATAACGTTTTGATATTGGCAGGGTCATGCTGGTGGGATGGGGAGGAAACAATGGCGCAACTCTCACTGGTGGGGTCATAGCGAACCGAGAGTGAGTTTCCTTTTTGTTAGTTTATTAAATTTTCCGATTTCAGTTATAGATTTTGGTTAATGTTTGCCAATCTTTTTTGTTTTTTTTTTTTTATTTCAAGAAATGTTAAATGTATCTGTCACTTACAGTAATTTGTCTGTATATGTAGAGTTTATTTTATTATGAATATGTTTTAGTTTTGGTTTTTGAGATTTGGGTGTGTTGTATTTCTCAGAGGTATCTCTTGGGCAACCAAAGATAAGGTGCAGCAAGCCAATTACTTCGGCTCACTGACCCAAGCATCCTCCATTCGTGTTGGGTCTTTCAATGGCGAGGAGATTTATGCCCCATTCAAGAACCTTCTTCCCATGGTAAAGAAAAAATAAATAAGTAAAATTACTAGGAACAAATGAAAATGATGGCTTTTGTTTTTTCAATCAATGCAAAATTCTTGTGACATACTTGGTGACCTCTTATCTCTACGTAGCAATTGGTTTGTGATATACATCTTAGGGATTTGAGTCTAAAATTCATTTCATCAATTTAAATTTTTTTACATTAAAGAGTTCTTAGAAACAACCCATTTAATTTTTTTACTATAGTAAAAAAACTCTTCTATAAAGTCACGTCTCAATATAAAATTATTTGAATCAACGAATGTATTTAATTAATATGAACAATACTCGAGGCTCAATACCGGTAGGTGGGGCCCCAGTTTCTATTTGACGTTATGTTAAACACCTTTGGTAGCCCTAAACATTTTTCATACTAGACTGCGCCAATGACACTAATATATATACGTGACAATGTTATGCTGAAATGATCGTACTATGTACAATGAAAATAAATTAATAAATAGTGACAAACAAGTAGTGAAATGTGAAGTAAAATCTTTTTCTAAAGATCTTCATATAATATATAGGTAAACCCAGATGACGTTGTGTTTGGAGGTTGGGACATAAGCGACATGAACCTAGCTGATGCCATGGCAAGAGCAAAAGTGTTTGACATTGACCTCCAAAAGCAGCTGAGGCCCTACATGGAGTCCATGGTCCCACTTCCTGGAATCTACGACCCTGATTTCATTGCTGCCAATCAAGGCCCACGTGCTAACAGCGTGATCAAGGGGACCAAGAAGGAACAGGTCGAACAAGTCATCAAAGACATTAGGTACTATTCTAAATGCTAAGAACAATGCTAGGATTCTTTTTAACACCGGACACTACTACAAGACGGGCCCACATTGTTTGCGGTGCTTAGTGTAGGTGGTGCTTAAAAAGCATCTTTTGAACGCTAATCAAACTATGTTATGTTACACACAAACCATTTATGTTTTTTGTGAAATAAAGGGTCTTAATTTGACGTTTACAACTTTTTATGGTTTTGTGTGTGATTTGTTGATTAGGGAGTTCAAGGAGAAAAACAAGGTGGACAGAGTGGTTGTGCTATGGACAGCCAACACCGAGAGGTACAGCAATGTGATTGGGGGGCTAAACGACACCGTGGAAAACCTTTTGGCTTCCTTGGAGAAGAATGAAGCTGAGATTTCACCTTCCACCTTGTATGCCATTGCATGTGTTCTTGAAAATGTCCCTTTCGTCAATGGAAGCCCACAAAACACTTTTGTCCCAGGTATTAATTTAGCCTTAGCTAATTAACAATTTATCATTTTTTTTAACTATGATATGACACAATAAACATAATTAAAATGGTGTAAGGTGTTTTATATCTAATGAAGTTTTGTTATAATTTGTGTTTTATATATGATTTGCAGGGCTGATTGATTTGGCTATTAAGAATAACACCTTGATTGGTGGGGATGACTTCAAGAGTGGTCAGACCAAGATGAAGTCTGTGTTGGTAGATTTCCTTGTTGGGGCTGGTATTAAGGTACTTAAAATAAACTGCTATGCTAGATTAATCTTTACAAGTATCTCAATGAAGATTTATCATATATAATTGTGATGAATGATGATCTCATTGCATGTATATGGTGGTGGTGAATTGCAGCCAACATCCATTGTGAGCTATAATCATTTGGGCAACAATGACGGCATGAACCTCTCAGCCCCACAAACCTTCCGATCCAAAGAGATCTCAAAGAGCAATGTTGTGGATGACATGGTCGGCAGCAACGGTATCCTCTATGAGCCTGGCGAGCATCCTGACCATGTGGTGGTCATCAAGGTACAATAATTTACATAATTCCCAACACTTGTATTCAATTTTCGCTAAGGTATCATATAGTCGCTCTCTTTTCCTAACTATATCGATTAGTTTGGGCCTTGAGACCTACATTGATCAACAATATAGACTTGAAAATCACGCCAGTCGTGACTGTCCTTAACAAACTTTTAACTATATCAGTTATTGTGTGCCTTGAGACTTTCGTTGATCAATGACAGAGAATTGACAATCATGCCAGTCGCGAGTGTCCTTAACAAACTCGTTAACTGTATCGTTTAATGTGGGCCCTGAGACATCTTTTGATCAACTAACTATATTGGTTAGAGTGGGTCCTTGGATCTGCGTTGATTGACAATAGAGAATCGAAAATCACATCAGTGGTGACTATCCTTAGTACACAAAACTCTAAATAGTGCAGCGTTAATTAAGGTTTTCATGTGTGATGTTGTAGAGTAATTTTTCATGTGGTTCTTGTGTTTTAGTATGTGCCATATGTGGGGGACAGCAAGAGAGCCATGGACGAATACACCTCTGAGATATTCATGGGTGGTACAAACACAATTGTGCTCCACAACACATGCGAGGACTCACTTTTGGCTGCTCCCATCATTCTAGATTTGGTTCTCCTTGCCGAGCTCAGCACCCGTATCCAGATCAAAGCTGAAGGAGAGGTAATCTATGGCCGTTTCCTAATTATTTTCGCTGAATAAAGCGACCCCAATATTTATAGAAACTCATAGTTAGTGATACTAAATTATAATCTTTATCTGTGTTAATTAAACAGGGCAAGTTTCACTCCTTCCACCCAGTGGCTACCATCCTCAGTTACCTCATCAAGGCTCCTCTTGTAAGTGTGACATTAATCTTTATGACAAATTGGTTATTAAATATTTACAATTTTGCATATGTTCATAAGTTTTACTCCATTTACCACCACCCAAATGTGATACGGAAATGACTTATAGTAATTGATGCTGACATGTAATGGACCACTATTTTATTTCATGTAGTTAATGATTCACCGTGGGGTTCACAATTACAAAAGAAAAAATGGAGTACAAAGTTTTGGAACGTAGTAGACTGGTGGACCATGTTGTCAAATATGTGGCATTTACAATTTAAGTTTTAGAACTTAGTATCATGTGAAGTTAAAGAATGAGTACTAAAAGTAAATTGTATGGTTTTGGTTGAAAAAAAAAATACAGGTCCCACCGGGAACCCCGGTTGTGAATGCTCTGTCGAAGCAGCGAGCAATGCTTGAGAACATACTGAGGGCTTGTGTTGGATTGGCTCCAGAGAACAACATGATATTGGAATACAAGTGAACAACATGATCAAGAAAGTTCAAGAGAAGTGAAAGCTCCTCTCCATCTGCTACTTTTGGATCTACAAGATTGTATGAGAAAATCTGTGTACTTCTCTGCGTTTGAACTCTTGTAATTTTTGTTGTTCTCTAAGTGTTTTGTTTCAGGAAAGTGCCTGTGTACCGGTGTTGCTTGAGCTCATTAAGAAGCTAAGCGACCCTTTTGCCGTTGGAAATAGATAAGTTTATATAAACTAATAAGATTATTTTTAAACTTATGTGGTTCAACTGTGCAAATTGTCATTACCTAATATATAGCTGTTTCCTGACTCCATCACAATCCGGTATTTTCACACCCGACTCCATCACAATCCGGTATTTTCACACCCGACTCCATCACAATCCGGTATTTTCACACCCGACTCCATCACAACCCAACTCCATCACAAGATGCAAGAGTTCAAATCATTCACCTCAAAGTCTAGAAAGAAGGGGGTCATCTCTATTCTCATTATTTTCCTCTTGGTAAAATACTTGCTAGTAGACAAAAGCGAAATTGATCAATTATTTGAGGATCATAAAGATGTGAATAGAATTCTGACCTCTGGTGGTCCTTGCCAAGTCCTCTCATTGCCTCCCAAGTGTGGGAGCTCATTGCCTCCCAAGTGTGGAGCTCATTATTTTGGAAAGAAGGCATAGCCCATGGGCCATACTAGGACCATAATTTGTTCAATAATTTTGTGTGGAGGATTTTGTGCTACTTGGATTTTGAGATCCAATGATCATATCTTATGTTGTATGTCTCCCTACGTGATTTATCCACCAAATTTGTCACATCCCTTTAGCACAAAATGATTGAATTTTCATTTATCATTCTCCAACTGATAGCGTGAAAAAAATAAAATAATAATAATAATAATAATAATAAATACAAAAAAAAATAATCATAATCATAAAAATAATTAATAATATAAAAAATTAATAATAATAATAATAATAATAATAAAAAATAATAATAATAATAATAATAATAGGTAAAACACAATTTTTAACTGCTATATATTTATCATGTCTTTTTTTTTTTTTTTTTTTTTTTTATAAATTTAAGTTAATACTTGTTTCTATAAAGTGGAAACATACACCACACACTACTACTCTCTATATATCCCTTTCACTCCTTGCTAAGACCAGAATATAAGTATGCTTTAATGTCGTTATTAAGTTAGAAGAGTGTTGCTTTCTTTATATGTTTCTGATTACATTTGGACCTAAGATTTTAATTTTTTTTCCAAAGTCCATTGAAAAAGACCATCATATAAGTATGTTTCAACGTCATTATTAAGTTAGAAAAGTGATGCTTTCTCTATATGTTTCTGATTACATTTGGTCCTAAGGATTTAATTTCTTTTCCAAAGTCGATTGAGAAAGACCAACATATAAGTATGCTTCAATGTCGTTATTAAGTTAAAAAATTACTGCTTTCTCTATATTTTTCCGATTACATTTGGCCTTAAGATTTTAATTTTTTTTTCCAAAGTCAATTCAGAAAGACAAGCATATAAATATGCTTCAATGTCGTTATTAAGTTAGAAAAGTGATGCTTTCTCTATATGTTTCCTATTATTACATTTGGTCCTAAGATCTTAATTTTTTTTCCAAAGTCGATTGAGAAAGACCAGCATATAAGTATGCTTCAATGTCGTTATTGAGTTAGAAAAGTGCTGCTTTCTCTATATGTTTCCGATTACATTTGGTCCTAAGATTTTAATTTTTTTCCAAAGTCGATTGAGAAAGACCATCATATAAGTATGCTTCAATGTCGTTATTAAGTTAGAAAAGTGTTGCTTTCTCTATATTTTTCCGATTACATTTGGTCCTAAGATTTTAATTTTTTTTCCAAGGTTGATTGAGAAAGACCAGCATATAAGTATGCTTCAATGTCATTATTAAGTTAGAAAAGTGATGCTTTCTCTATATGTTTCCGATTACATTTGGTCCTAAGATTTTAAATTTTTTTCCAAAGTCAATTGAGAAACACCGGCATATAAGTATGCTTCAATGTCGTTATTAAGTTAGAAAAGTGTTGCTTTCTCTATATTTTTCCGATTATATTTGGTCCTAAGATTTTAATTTTTTTTTCAAGGTGGATTGAGAAAGACCAGCATATAAGTATGCTTCAATGTCATTATTAAGTTAGAAAAGTGATGCTTTCTCTATATGTTTCCGATTACATTTGGTCCTAAGATTTTAAATTTTTTTCCAAAGTCAATTGAGAAACACCGGCATATAAGTATGCTTCAATGTCGTTATTAAGTTAGAAAAGTGTTGCTTTCTCTATTCTTTTCCGATTATATTTGGTCCTAAGATTTTAATTTTTTTTTCAAGGTTGATTGAGAAAGACCAGCATATAAGTATGCTTCAATGTCATTATTAAGTTAGAAAAGTGATGCTTTCTCTATATGTTTCCGATTACATTTGGTCCTAAGATTTTAAATTTTTTTCCAAAGTCAATTGAGAAATACCGGCATATAAGTATGCTTTAATATCGTTATTAAGTTAGAAAAGTGCTACTTTTACTATATGTTTTCGATTACATTTGGTCCTAAGATTTTAATTTTTTTTTTTCCAAAGTCAATTGAGAAAGAAAATGAAATAGCGACTAAATGGTTGTTGTCCTGTAGAGTTATTGTTGATTTTGATTTTGGATCGAGTAGTGTTAGGATCCAAAAGTCGACCTACAATCTATCTTCATTATAACTTGTCACCTCAATTATTGAGCTACGACTGACTTTTTAGTCAGAGCAGAAGTTGGGTTTGCCCCGATTCTCGTATGGTTAATTTGGCACTCTAGATTCCGTTTGATAAAAGGGAAAGAGAAAGTAATTGGAAAAAAAAAAAAAAACACATAAAAGAAAGAATAAAAAAAATATGTGAAGGATACGTTGATTTTTATTTGATATGATGGGAAGAAAGAAAATAGGTAAGATATTAATGACTCTTTTATTAATTATTTAATAGGATTATTTTTACTGGTGTTTCTTGAATTTTGGAGTTGTTCTCAATTTGTCTTGTAAACTTTAAAAACTCTTAATTTTAGGGTTTAAGTGTGGTCGTGTGATTTTTATTTATTTCATTTTAACAAAAATCCAAACAAAAAGATCACGTGACTACGTTATTCTCTTGTTTTCTATATGCTTTTAACAGAAATTGCTACATAAGTAGTTAAGTGAAAACAATTCAAAATTTAGGGACAAAATGAGAGTTTTTAAAGTTCATAAGGCAAACTGAGAATGACCTTAATGTTCAGGAGCATCAAAGATAATAATCCTATTTAATATTAATTCAATTTTTAAATAGGGACAAAAAAAGTTATTTTATTCATCAATGGTGTATTTAAGTTTTACACTCTACTATAATTTTTATCCATCCTGTTTTCTTTTCCCTCTTCTCTTCTTTCTTACCAAATAACCTACTCTACCATTTTCCATTTAATAATCCCTCCATCTACTTCCTCCTTTCTCTTTTCTATCATACCAAACATGGCATTAGAATTATTGTTGGCCGCGATAAGCATGATTAAATATAGGGTAAAGGAAGGAATAAAAATATAACATATTTGTAGGGTGAATAAATAGCAAATTTCTGGGGGGACAACAATTAGAACAACTTTTACTATGCAAAATTTGGAAACTCTAGAGAAGGAAACTCTTTTCCATTATACAAAACATAAAAGAAAAAAAAAGACTGACTCTAGTACCAAAGAGGCTTCCGTATTATGACAGGCTCGAGAGAAAGTTCAATCTCATATATACGCGACCTTACCCTCTGAAAGAGAGGCCGTTTCCGGGATTCGAATCCTGGACCCCGGGTGCAAATGCAAGCGCTCCCACCACGGTACTAAGGTTCGCCTTCCCATTATACAAAACATAGCATCAAAAATACTTTTGGAGGAGAGGTGCACGTAATAATTCGTGATAAGCACAATTAAATAGTGGAAATAGGAGGGAAATAAAAATATAACATAATCATAGGGTGGATAAATAAATAGAAAATTTTTTGGGTGACTTTAAATTATGGCAGATTTTACTACAAAAATTTTATCGGTGCATATCTCTGTTGTGATGTTAGTAAATCGTGATATTAGATCTTGCGCGGTGAAGAACGACGATTTAAAACAATCAAATTGCCTTCCCCATCAATGATTCTCCTCAGACAGGTTATCTTCTACAGCAAAGATTCTCTATGGTAGAGGCAACAACGGCTTCTTTTAAGTTAGGACATGCTTTTCATAAAAATGTAATTTGAGAACTCTCTCAATTTGGGGAATATGAGTTTCCAATCGGAGATTTAAAAAAAAAAAAAAAAATTTAAGGGCTAGAAATTTGGGTTTTCAATTTATGTTATTTTTCAATTGGAAGTGAAATAAAGGTATTTAATAAATTAGCACGTAAAAAGCTATCAATATGTTTCTAAATTAGTAAATATGCAATAAATGATTGGTAAATACTTTTAAAAATAAAAATTTGTAAACCAGTAAATTACTAGATATAAAAAGTTTTGAAGTTTTTTTTTTTTACGCATATGATTTATTTATTTAGGTAGTTCAGTATTAAATATTAATTTTTTATTACTATTAATTCTTTTACTCCTTTTCGAAAGCTATCCATTTATTTTCTTGATAGTTATTAAGAAAATAAAAATTGATAAAGGATTTATCGTGATAAACACTGAATTTACCAAGTAAACTAAAAATCTAAAAAGCAAAGTATATAAAGAATTCTCCATGTAAATAAAAAATGTATAGCAAATAGCATCTCTTAGAGATGTTATTCAAGTGTATAGCATATTGTTTTTTTAATGTTGGTAAATTATAGCATATTTTGAATTTTTATTCTAAAACAATAGTTATTTCCAAATTTAACTATGCTTGTAGTGTTTTTATTTCTTTTATTTGTTTCTCACTTGGCCAATCACCTCTTCATTTCTCTCTTTGTAGCTGGCGTTGCCTTCAATGGTGGGCGACCAGTAAATACTATATTTACTTATAAGAGTATCTCTCATGTAATATTATGATTGTTGTGTCAATAGTAAATTTAGTATTTGAGTGTAAAAAATATTCTCTAATGCAGTGCTATTTATTGTGTCAAATTTCTCACATGTTATACTTTATGGTAAATTTCTTACTAAGTATTACATATGAAAAATTTGACATTTAATTGTTATTGGTTAAAATATTTACTTTTTCATGTAATCATTATAACTTTTACACTTTTTAATTATGTTAAAAATAAAAGTTTACTTTTACAACTTTCAAAGTTTAATGATTATGAGAAA